CTTATTAGCTCAGAAATGTAACCTGTTTTGTCGCACAGAGTGGTGGCGACAATTCTGGTAGTTCTGTACAATACATACAGGGAGCGACGTGTTTACACAATTAAATAATACAGTATCGGGGTACCCCTGTTGTGACAATTCATACAGCTCATGCAGAGGTTTCTGCACGTGTCGGTGTGGTTGTGTCACATTATAGTTTGTTTATTTTTCGTTTCGTTGTTTTCCGGTTGTGACAGTTTCATACAGCTCATGCAGAGGTTTCTGCACGTGTCGGTGTGGTTTGTGTCACATTATAGTTTGTTTTATTTATCGTTACGTTGTTTCTGGTTGTGACAGTTCATACAGCTCATGCAGAGGTTTCTGCACGTGTCGGTGTGGTTGTGTCACATTATAGTTTGTTTTATTTATCGTTACGTTGTTTCTGGTTGTGACAGTTCATACAGCTGATGCAGAGGATGCTGCATATGTCGGTGGTGGTGAGCTCTGTACCTCGGCACAGCGTAGAGAGGCTGGCGCTCCACACCTGATCCGCAACGTTTACGGCCTCTCTCCGTCGCTGCGTTGCCGCAAGCTACTCGTTACGCTCCATGGCTTTCCTCGATGAGCTTCGCGCACAGCTGGCTGCAAGCTCGTCATGGACAAGATTTTCACAGTAATAAAAAACACGGGTGAGTTTACTTACAGGTGGTGTTGGCTCTAGTGATGGCAACAGTGGGAAAAATGGTGCTGCTACCTGGTGAGTTAAAGAGGGCAGGTATTACTACCTGGTGAGTTAATAGGCAGGTGTCCTACCTGGTGAAGTAACAGGTGGAAAATGGTGCTAAACCTGGTGAGTTAATAAGGGCAGGTGGTCTTAAAAAGCCTGGTGAGTAACAGGTGGGAAAATGGTGCCAGCTGTGAGTTAAAGAGGGGCAGTGGTCCTACTGGTGAGTTAAGTAGGACAGGTGGGCAGAGGGTTGATTACAGGTGAGGACAGGTGGGCAGGTGGTTATATCTGGTGAGTGACAGGTGGGCAGGTGGTTATACCTGGTGATATAAAATTGAGCAGGTGGTGCTACCTGGTGGGTTGATGAGCAAGTACTTCTACTTGGTAAGTTAAAGAACAGGTGGTGCTATCTGGTGAGTCGATTAACAAGTTATGCTACCTAGTGAGCGAATCCCTTGCAAAGAGTACGTAACAAGTTTTATCTGTAATACTCGTGACGCAGTTCGCATACTTCTAGTTGCAACTGTTATGTGAGGAATGTAAACAGGAGATAGCAGTGTTAGACTGGGAGTGGTGGCAATGTTAGTGGCAGCAGGAGTTGACGTGCGTGCATCTATATTCTGTAGCGGCATCGTGGAAGACTGAGAAGCTGAGCATGCAGAAGCTGGTGCATCACTACTTCCTCTCTGAGCCGCCGTTAGCTTTGGGATGTACACCGCGTGATGGAGAGAAGAAGAAGGAGGAGACAAAGAACTGTCCTCCACGTGGGGGGGAGGAGGAGGAGGAGGAGGGAAGGGGTTGTCCTCCAGACCAGAAGGAGAAGATGAGGAATGGTTTCTCTCCATGCGTGGAGAAGGAGGAAGGAAGGGGCTTCCCTTCACGTGGGGAGGAGGAGGAGGGGGAGGAGAGGAAGGGCTGCCCTCTTCCCTCTCGCCACTCGAGAGAGACTGTTGAAGAACTCATGTTCCTGCTAACTTCGATGGTGGACAGCTACGTGATGCAACTGCAAGGTATGGCTTCGCATGTGGCTGAAGTGCTAGTAACATCAGATATATCCCAGGCTGGCCCTGTAACAGCAAACTTCCCCTACCTTTTAGGTAACATTAGAGTTGGGCCAGCGCTAGTTTATGTCTAGTAATGCTTTTATTGATTAATTTGATTTGACCTAATTTTTGTTATAAACTATAACTCTCGTTAGAAGGTAACTGAGCTTCGTTTTTCCCTGCATCCGATATGATCCCATCGACTGAAGTTGTGCTTTTCACAGGCTATGGACAACAAGATGGTCCGAGACACATGTCACTGCTGGACCTAGACGTTGTAACTGAGATGCCTGGCCATGTAGAGAAACTCAGGTCACGTCTGGATGCAGCCTGCCCAGGGGCAAGCCACCAGCCCAGCGTGAAACTCATGTATATGAAGCTTACTGCCTCTGCTGCCTACATGAAGGCTGGCGGGTGAGGCAGGTGTAGGCTAGGGCGAGTACAGATATATAGAGGGTTGTGTGTAGAATCCTAGCACAGTGGGGGCAGATTGACAGGTGTATAGAGGTGGTGTGTGTACATGCCTAGCACAATGGGGGCAGGTATGTAGAGGGGTGTGTGCATATCGCTCGTATGTGAATACAGCACACACGAGAGGACAGGAAGTCACAACTGGCTGCTTCGTGGGGGTCTAGTGGCCGGTTACTTTTATGTGACAGAGCTGCTTTCCCCTAGCCTTCGTCATGACATAACATGCAGCACGTTTACAATTGCTCAAATACCTGTAGGTGCTGTGGATCTCATATGTCACACGTACTTAGCAGCTAACATATCAAATGTCCTCATCTGGTCACGTAGAAATGTCTGCAATTATGATAAAAAACTGGTAAAATGTTATTAGTCAGTGTTAAGTGTTAATAATGGTATGTATAAATTAATCTTCATTATATCATGTACTTAATCATCGTTGTTGCTATAGGAACACTCTTGAAAGTGTAGCCTAAGTTAGGCGAAGGTTGTAAGATATCGTTGCGTTAATATATTGTTTTTGATTTATTTTATTGTCTCATTGTCATTAATATAATTATCGTTTATCTCATTAATATAAGTCAATTGTTCACTTAATATATGTATTATATACTTACATATATTCTCATAATAAGTTCACTTGTTACTCAATTTCTATTGACAAGTTCGGTCACATTTCTGAGTTTTTATATTTCACAGCAAAAAGTAATAAAGTAGCATTTCTACCGTATGTATATAATTTAATGTTATATTGTTTTTATTGTGTTTTTTCCCTATCTTTATTAATGGTGTGTGGGCGAATGAATAAGCGGGGGTGGGTGGGGGTGAATGGATAGATGAATGGTTGTGTAGGTGGTTTGGTAATGAATGGTTGGCTGGGTAGTAGGGTGGATAGATGGATAAAGATTGGATAAGGGTTGGTGGGTGATAACCATATACGCATTCAACACCTTGCAGGGCGAGATGCAAAGAAGTGGAGGAACACAGATCCACGAGTGAAGTGAGGCCGCGGCGTGCAAAACAGATACGTGTACGTATGTGTGTAAGCAATCATGATGTCCCACACCTTATCCAGCTCCAAACTGCATGCAGTGCCCCTTCGCACACTCAATATACCACTGCCACAATGCTAGCACTATTTTTAAAGTGGGCGGAGCTCGGGGGAAATCCAGCGAATGGAGATTCGTAAACAGCGTATGATTTGAAAGAGGTAAATGGGCGCACAATCCGCGTACTATTTCGTATCACTATTTTATCAAATTTTTCATGAAATAACGGTCGGATTTTTGATATCTTTTGCAACTTTTATTAGTCCAAATCTTATTACATAGGATACGAGTAACGTGCCTGCTGTAAAACTTGTAGTAAAAAAGTGTTACAAATTGTAACCGAAATCTACTTGTGGCAGTGGTAGATTGAGCCCATGAGCGAGAGCGCCATCTGTCGTGGAGTTTGATCCAGCTCCTAGCTACCCGCGCCACCTGGTGTGGTGAAATAGTAATAACCGAAACCCTCAATTGGGAGGAACAATGTAGAGTAACGCTATGTATACATATTATGCATGCAGTGTATAACATACATAGAGTGGTGCTATGAATTGTTGATGAGATACGAGACCTACTTCAACAGACACTAGTCGTACATGTACGCTTTAAGGGCCGGACACACTAGGCGATTAAATCGGGCGATAAAATCGGGCGACAAAATTGCCGTGAAATCGCCTAGTGTGTCCACTCAATCGCCGCCGATTTAGTCGCCCGATTTTGTCGCCCGATTTAATCGCCTAGTGTGTCCGGGGCCGGCGATAAAATCGCCCGATTGTACAATTCATCAGCCAATCAGAGTTGTTCAATAATACTGACGTAATAGCGATGTTTCATGTTTAGTATGGCATGTCATGTAATAGCGATGCACGCACGCACGCACGCACGCACGCACGCACGCATATAACCACCTGCCCACCTG